ACTGGATAGACCAGACCAATCCTCTCCCTTCCTTCCTTTCTGTCTTCTTCCCACCTTCCTCCCTGCCACCCATGCACACACCCCCCAGCTCTGCCAAGCACCAGACCCACCACAGTGGGAATAAAATGACAAGTCCTGGGCTCTGCACTCAAAGCACTGAGGGGCTACTTGGCAGGTAGACGGACATTATTAAACCAAGAATCTTTACCACGGCGAGACAAGGCTTCTCGGAACAGCCCAGATGAAGGGAACAGAGAGCAGCACAGGCCCTGTGTGCTGGGCTCCAAGGAATAGGCAGCCTGAGGCCAGTCAGTGCCCTGAGGTCAAAGGGTGAGTCCAGCCTGCCCCTAGAGACTCTCCACTTCCAGAAGCAAAGATGGCTCTGCCATCACATTAGCATCGTGCAGAGGGCCCCCTCCAGCTGCACTGGCCTGGGCCGGCACCCTAATTAGACTTTCATAGTGTGTCAGGCAGCCTGCATGGCCCGGTTGCCAGCTGGGGCTCCCGTTCCGTCTGGTGGCCTCAGTTAATGAACCCATGAGGGGCTGGCCGAGCTCATTATAGGTGATACAAGGGAATAGGGTGCCCCCCCACATATCCGTAATCCCTGCCTTTCTCCTCTTCCCATGTGCACATTGAGAATGGGAAGAGAGCTGATTCCTAATCAAGGGGAAGGAGCGGACAGAAGAGACACTCCAGCCCTACCACAAAGCCCTGTCTGCAGCTGGGGAAAGCCCAAGATACGGTGGCTCCAGTGGCCGTTCAGCCAGAGTTGTGGGTTTATGAGCCTGTGCCTGCTGTGCCTGTGGTTCCAGGGAGGATCCAGATGTCATGGCTACTCTCAAGCTACACCTAGGCCCTTTCTTATCGCAGGCCAAGGAGGCAGAATAAGAGTTGAAGGTTCAATTCTGTCTCTTTCCAATTGTGGGTTCATAGACATGTTTGGACAAGCTGCTTTCTCAGAGCTTCACCATCCTCATCTTTACGATGGGGCAGTAATACCCACCTGGCACCAAAGTAAGTGCTCAGTTCAATACATTATCTTTGTTTTATTCTTAAAAGACAAGGGAGAAATGATTCCAAAATGTGAGCAGTGGTTGTGAGCAGTGGGACTATGAATGATAGTTTTCTCTTTTCTGTACTTTCTAAATTGTATACAATGAGCATTTTACCTTTGTTGTTTGAAAAAACACAAATTTTCTCCAAAAAATATATTTTAAAAAATGAGATTATATGTATGAAAGGGTCTAGACTGTGCCTGGGTAAATGTTATTAATAGAGGCTTCCTCCTGCAGCAAAAGTTTGAATAGAAGAGATTGGGTGGCCGAGCATGATGGCTCACGCCTTTAACCCCAGCACTTTGGGAGGCCAAGGTGGGCGGATCACGAGGTCAAGAGAGGGAGCCCATCCTGGCTAACACGGTGACACCTTGTCTCTACTAAAAATACAAAAAATTAGCTCGGCATGCTGACAGGCACCTGTAGTCCCAGCTGAGGCAGAAGAATCGCTTGAACCCCGGAGGCGGAGCTTGCAGTGAGCCGAGATCGTACCACTGCACTCCAGCCTGGGCGGCAGAGCGAGACTCCATCTCAAAAAAAAACAAACAAAAAGAGAAGATCAGGTAGAAAAAGAAGCACGGTATTTGCAAATGTATAATACACCAATTTCTTAGCCCCAAATGCCAAAAGAAGGCACATAAGTGAGTGTTCAAATGCTGTGGCACGGACTCAAGGAGGTGTTTAGGGGAGTTTAAAGGAAGAGAGCTCCCTGGCCAGTGTGGAATGCAAAAAATGTGGACAGGAAGGTGGACGCAACCCAAGTGTCCACCAACAGATGACTGGACAAACAAAATGTGGTCTATCTGCACCATATTATTCAGCCTTAAAAAGGAAGAACATTCTGACACATGCTACCACAGGGATGAACCTTGAAGACATTATGCTAAGTGAAATTAGCCAGTCACAAAGAGACAAATATTGTATAATTGCACTAATATGAGATATCTACAGCAGTCGAATTCACAAAGACACAAAGTAGAATGGTGGTTGCCAGCAGCTGGAAGGCGTGGCAGGGAATGGGGAGTTAGTGTTTAAAGCGGATAGAATTTCAGTAGAGGGCAATGTAAAAAGCACTGGAGTTGGATGGTGGTGATGGTTGCACAACGATGTGAATGTGCTTAGTGCCACTGAACTGTTCATTTAAAAATGATGAAAATGGTAAATTTTATATTATGTGTGCTTTGTCACTATATATATATATACACACACACACACACACATATATATATATATATATGAAGAGGCCAGGGGTGGTAGCTCACGTCTGTAATCCCAGCACTCTGGGAGGCTGAAGCAGGTGGATCACTTGAGGTCAGGAGTTCAAGACCAGCCTGGCCAA